AAATCAACAAATATATAAAAAAAATACACCAAATTTAGCATACTAAAATTTCCTTTACAGTTTTGGTTATATACAGAATATGTCTGTATCAAGTTTCCATGATGAAGGTAAATGAGATTTATAATTTCCTATCCATGATTTACCCTATTCAATTCATGACATATATAGATCCACAGTGAAGAACTCTTAATATATATGTGTATACTTATATATCACCCCTCTCCTTCCTAGCCCATTGCTTTTAATTCCTTGAAAGGAAAGTGAATGTTAAATGAATTTGATTTGTTTGGAAAGAGACGAAAAAATCAACTTTCCTCCAAAATTCAAAGTTATGGAATAATTAAGTTTTTACGTGATTAGAAAAACATTAAGGGGCAGACGTTCAAAGTGGAGAGTTCTAAGTCAGCTGAACTTCCATTCTTGCTAATGGGAGGTAGTTGGCTAAGTTCCCTGGACAGTGCTTTGAACATACCATCAGAACTTTAAAAAATGCTGTGAACCACATTAAAACATCGAATATGTTTAGATTATCCACTCCTTTTAAACACAAAGAAGAAAAAATGGAAAGGCAAGCAGGCTTTTTTTCTCATTTTTCTTTTCTTTTTTTTTTTTAAGCACACGTGAAAAAAGGATGTGGACATGATTCAGTAATGCTGTTCCTGGTTGTAAAGCCCTTGAATATTATACAGTTAGAAGCCTACAAAAAAATTATTTGGTGTCAGTGAACTAGTCTAAAACTAGTCTAAAAAAAAAGAAAAGTAGTGATCTTATTTAGAAAAAAGTGCATTCTTTCATTCCAAAATTTAACAGCAAATACAGTATTTTTAATAAGTCAGAGAGTAAGATTTTTGTATGACTTCTCTGTTGACAAATATATAGGCAGTTTTAGACAATATGTGTCGATTCTAGCGCATCATTTTAAAATGATCACTTACAAGAATAGGATTGGTGGAGGGATGGAGGAGGCATAGAATGAGCCCACTTGGACAGCAGTAGATTTATTAAACCACAAGCTCAAACGACTTTGTTGTTCAATCAAATATCGCCTTCAAATATTAACAGAAGTAGATGATCTAGAACAAAGATGATACCTGCTGGGTTATCCCTACGGTGATCAGACGACATCTAGATTATATTCTGTTGTCAGTGCTGGATGTTAATAAGGGTGAAGCGTGTTGACAACCTCTAGCATATCCAGAGGAACGTGACTGGAATGATACCATCTGGGAATCATGTCATATGAGGAATCCTTAGAGGAAAGAGACTTGTGATTGTATAATAGTCACCTGATGATATTTGAAGGTTTTCCCATGTAAGAAGGATGCTACTTATTCTGTATCATTTTAAGGGACAGACATAGAAGAGATAGATAGAGAAAGATAACAGTCACTTTTTTACAGAGCTCTCCAAAAGGGAATGGAATGTTTTTTAAACAGGGTGAGCTTCTTATCACAGGAATCGAACATAATTGAAAATGTACAAGGGTTTTTTGCATTTGGAAAGAAGCTGGACTTCAATAGCGTTTCCTGATCCTAGGTGATTTTAGGGAATTGCTTGTGTGTATTACTATTGCCATTATTTTAGTACAAATCCCCTCGGCCACACCCCCTGCTTAATGAATCAGAATCTCCAGGAAGATGCATCTGTGGTGGATAGTAAGTGTTTAACAGAAAAAAAAAAACCAAAAAACTGCCTAGGGAAATATAGTCAACAGGGTCCAGCTTTGTAATTTTCATGATTTCTGTTAAGATTGTGTAGTATGGTGATTCTAGCATTCAAATCATGAAAAAAAATTTAGATATATTAGCATAAATTGTCCATAAAGCTTTGATTACATCTGCAAGATGGATCAGTCCAAATTTCATATTCTTAGAGATTTTTCCATTATTTAATAAATGTATATAAAGGGTTTTTCATATGCTGTGTTAGGCCTGGGGATGAGAAAACAGTTGTGAGCGATCATTGGGAATTTTGCTTTCAGGAAGTGGAGTCTATGAACAACCAAAAACTTAGGGTTGTTAGTAAGTAAATAACAATTTCAACTCATAAGACTAGTTTTTATGTCATTGTAGCATTTATAAGATTTCTTGGGTTCAGATTTGACCTCTACCATTGCAGTTATGCCATCTTGGGTGAGATTCTTAAACTCTTTGTTCTATAGTTGTACCTTTTACGAAATGGGGATAGTAAAAGCACATACCTTTTCCGATGTCAAAACAATTAGAAGTCTTCATCATGCTTTTAACATAATGCTTGACACATGGTAATTAATTGATAACTGTTAGCTATCATGAGCGCAATCTTGATCGTCATCATCAGATGTTTTAAACACCCAGAGGGAATGCTTCAGAGGAAGCAAAACCTCAGTTCACTAGGGATATTATTTTTTATGATTTGCATCTAACTTTAATATAGAAACCAACTAGATCCCCAAAGTCTAATGAAAACATGCCAGAAATTTGAAAATCAAAGAAAGGCTGGGAAGAGAGGGGTGATAGAGATCATGGAAACAGGGCATAGCAGTAAAAGCATGTGACAGCATCACTACCCATGAGAATATTTGGGTATCCCCTCAAGTCCAACTAAAGTATTGCTGTTTGTAAATTGCTTTATTAATCTGTTCTGTTCAGAAGACATTTCTATATGTTGTATTTCATGAAAAGTAACTCACTTAACTTGCTTAATCATGTTCAGGTAAGAAGTTTTGATCAAAATAACAGTATTTGCTCATGTCGTGGAAAGTGGAGAATTTCTTTTCATTTTATACATAGATTACTGTTAATTCTTTCAGGGGAAAAATATTTTAAATTTAAATTCATAGATTTCCTTCCTTGCTTTTACTCTCCTTATTTTTTCTTTTTGACTGAGTTGTTAAATATATTTCTATGCATTTGGAATACAAGTAGATGATTTTAATAATAAATTCTAGCAACACTGTGTATAAGTTGAGGGATCCTTTAACAAACATAAAATGTAAATAATCTTTCTCCACCACTATCTTGCCTTGCATTTATTTTTTCAAAAGTAAGCAAGCAAGTTCACTTTCATTTCCTGAAAGCCCTTTTGTCAGACATATGACTGTGGTTTTTGCAGTGTAGCACAATGTTTGATTGAATGTCAGAGGAAAATCACCCAGATCAAGTTAGAAGAGCTAGTTTGACAGACTAATGACATTAACAGCCCCTCCTGTTGGTTTGAGATACATAACTCAGCAGTCACTGGCACCAATCATTATACTTTGGCTAAAGTGGGATACATATACTAGAATGAGCCAAAATTAAAACAGCATAGCCCATGACGATCTAAGGATTGATAATGTATGCAAATCGTGATGGACAGCTAGCTAGATAGCTAGATAGATGTCTACAGGTATCTCTCACAGATTTGACATATTTAAAGCAGCTTAGAAAATATTTATATAAAGAACTATTAAACAATACTAAAATGAGCATCTTGCCAACCACTGAAGCACCACCTAAGGGATACTATTTGTTATTCAGTTTAGAACTGGTTGTGATCCTGAGTGACAGAGTAACACCTCTACAGTGTAATCTAGAAGTTTCATCAACATATTTTTTGCTATTAATTGAAAATAAGTTGTCTTAAAAAATATGGCTTCAGCTTGGGTGTTGTAAGACTATACCAGAGGCTATATGTAGCAGACTGAAATTTCTATGTAAAAATAAATATGAGAAAACAGTTCTTGTATATGTGTTGAAATAATTGATGATTCCATTCTAATTATGATTTTAAAAAAGAAAAGAAAGTCAGATGGGATAAACATATATATTGTTGTTGTGTTCTAGTCTAAATCTATTGTAATAATACTGTAAAAGGCATATAATTTTAAAATTTCGTTTTCTAAGGCTGCATCTCTCTGCCATGCTATACCAAGCAACATTTTCCTTTTTTCCCAGCTCCTGCCGTTTATCAGGATTTTCTCTGTGCTTCTCAGTCATGCATGTGATCACTTTTTTTTTGCCCCTCTTTAAATAGCTAGTCTAAGATACCTCCTATTTAAAATTCATAGTATACAAATTCTACTTAATGTTTCTTTTACATGCTAGTAACTTTAGAGAAATTTGTATTTGCTGATAATATTGCACTGAAATGTTTCCTGTAGAGATTTAATGAGATGAGATGTGAATTTCTTGGGCACAAATGATAACCCAGTTTTCAATCTTATATAAGATGTTATCTAGTACTTTATTTATATTCACATGATATTTTTGCTAATACTTGCATATTTTTCTCAATTGTGCTTTCATTATTGGGTAATAGTCAAGTTTTAGAATTCTAAATCTGTTCTACATGTCATACTTCTGCTGCAACCTCACTATATCATATATAAATCATAGAATAAATGTTTAAAATATGTGTATAATTGTCCTTTTCACAGAGCTATGTATTCAAGACTATAGGATATGAAAAAACAATGAAACAGTGAACATTTTCCAAAATGAGTTTGATCAAAAATATCTCTGAAGAACAAACAGCCTCGTATCAGCATTGGTTTCCAGCACAAACTACCACATCAAGAGTCCAGATGTGGAATTAAAAAAAACAAACGCAATTGTGTAATTTTGTTTAGAAAGATGAAAACTATATTTAAACTTAAAACCATATTCTTAACCACTTTTCTAAGCACATGAATTGGTCAGGAATCATGACTAAATCTTCCAGATTTCATTTTAAAAATCATGACTATAAAAAGAATACTCGAGATTGACATGTTTTGAGAGTATTTTATGTGGTCAAATATGTGGGTTTTGGTGATCCATTCCAGTATAACAAACTAGAAGAATCTTTCAAATAACTATTTTTCAGTAATTGCTTGATGTACTCAGAATGAAATTACAGACCACCCAACAGGAGCAAACAACTGAACAACTAACAAAAAAATGAACAACTAACAAAACTTCGTAAATACAGTTTCACAAAAGTAAGGGAACAAAAGTGAGAACGTGTAAATGTAATATTTGTTGTTTTATATATTCCAGATTCAGAACAATTTGTGGGCAGGAAATGCAAGTGGTGGTTCTGTGGTCACTTCATGCATGTTGCCACGTGACACTTCCTCCTGTATGACACCTTACTCTCACTCGCCTCGGACAGATTCCAGTTACACAGGGTTTTCAAACCACCAGAACCAGTTCAGCCATGTGCCCCTCAACAATTTTTTCACTGACTCTCTTCTTACCGGGGCTACCAATGGACATGCATTTGAAACAAAGCCAGAGTTTGAAAGGAGGTCCTCCAGTATCGCAGTTCTTCGAATGAAAGCCAAGGAGCACACTGCCAATATTTCATGGGCCATGTAACATACAGTACTCTTTTCTTTCTCTCTTAATGGCAAAGTAAAACATTCTTATTTCTCATATTTAAAGGATACCACAATAAGCTGCTGTGTGTGGAATTGCTAAAGGTCAAGATATACAGTGAGACCAGCTTAAATGAATAGTTGTTATTATTTAACATTAAAATCTAAGAATGAACCTCTGAAAAGACTCAATAGGTTTACCACGCACCCGTCTCCACAAACTCTGTTTTAGTAGTAAGATTTTTTTTCTATTGTACGAGTCGATGAAATATGATCATGCAGCTTCTGAAAAGAATAAATGTATTAAACAAATTCCTCTGTTATAGATTGATTTATGTTAGTTCTGTATAACAAGAAATCCCTTGTAAAATAATACCTGAAAAAGGAGGAAATGCACTGGGGAAAATGTCAAGATACCAAAGCTGTCAGGTAAATATTGAAGCAGGGTGTTTGGGGGAGTTAACTGGCGTTTCTCCCTCTCTGGCTCCAAGACACAATGGGCATATCCTCTGTTGCTGAGAATTTATCTACAGGCCTTGAAGATTTTTTTACCTCTACACGTTTTGGTGAATTTCCACTCCGTGAAAAAAGGACTCTTCGGAAATGACCAGCATTTGCATGAAATATTCGGGCATCGTTTCCTGAAACCATGTGGCTAAAGGTGATAACTGAAATATCCTGGTGTGATTTAAAATACAGTCACAAGAACAGTTTGTATAAATGCTATCTTTTTAATGAAAAAGCCAGCACGGACTCAGCAATTAATTATCACACACAAGAGAAAAAGAAAGTTACAAAACCTGCTGTTGCTTTTAAACTAAAATTGTCAATTAAACTGTACACACAAACATCTAATAAATACACTCAAAGAAATATTTTCAGTTAAAGGAGCAGCAGTTGGAATCTCTATTTCATGAGTATGCGCAAGTGCACGTGTGTGTGTTTGTTTTTTGACATAGAAGCTGTAAGCGTTTTTTGACATAGAAACTGTAAGCATTTTTTGCTACTGTGGTTTTGCACAGGGAATTAAAATGTCAGAAGGCTCTCTAAAATTTCTGGTGGAAAAGAAGAGAAGAAAAATACATTGCATCTGGAAAATTGCTAACCCCTTTGATTTACTTCTCCTCCCTTTCCCCTGTCACATTCCAGGCTTTTTCAGATGAGTGAAATGTCAACCTCCTTGAAAGACTCTTAAGTTCATAAAGGCAAAGTAAATTAATTGAAATGAAGATGGCTTCCATGGCTTGGATCAGAGCACGATCTGCTCTTTGTACTCACTTAGAATCTTCCTTGTGGTTCCTACAACCTTTAGGGATATGCTTGGAAGCCCTAAAGGCTGAAGGGCAAGAATAAATGAATTTTTAAAATTAAATTTCAGAAAAAGTACTTAAATCCAGTAAGTGTCTGTTTCTGGTGGGAAAATATTTACAGCAGTTAGACATCTTCTGTAATAAAATTTTAAATCAAGCAGATGATGGAGATGAGTGATGTCCTAAACAAACATTCTTTGACTTCATAATAACTCTGTTCTTTATTACTTTTGTGTTCTCTCTTTTTCGTTTTGTTCCCAAGACAAACTTGTTCAACTTTGGCCCTGAGAATTATGCTTACATGCAGGAGCTTTTGTCAAAGGATTGTTTAGGCAGCTGTTAAATATCCTTCACGTTTTAGAAGAGAATGACTTCTTTTAATACACACATATATCTGGTCAGTAGGAATTTGTGAACTAAAACTTAGAACTAAAATGTGAGATTTTTTTTTTTCAAAAATTTCCCCAATCAGTGGTATCCATGTTCATTTTCTTCTGCTTTCATAATTGAAATTTTAGTGTCCCTTGCCTAATAACTTATATTTTTAAAATGAGAGACAAAACTCATTTTTGAATCAAGTTTGAATTTCACTTCCTTATTTTTTCCTTCTCTAAATTTTGTCCTCATTAATTCTGATAATTAGTTGGAGCTTCTGTAACTCAATTCTTTTCAGTGTAAATAACATCTTTTTAATTGAAGTTCTACGTCTTCAATGCTTTGTATAGATTTAATTCAATCAGCACATTTTTTTTTTTTTGACACCTACAGTGTGTGAAGTACTATTTGGGATAATAAAAAAACTAATGGAACCATGGTTCTTGCCCTTGATGAGTTCACAGTCTTCCTGGACAGACACATGCCTAAAGTTTGCACCCTCAACCATGCTTCTCATTTTATGAAGGTAGTAAGAATTGCACGAATTTTCTTGTGTTAACATTCTGACCTTTGTTTTTATTGGCTGAAAATTTTATTACACATTTAAGTGACTAAAATGTAACAGAAATGAACTTCTGACGTAGTAGGATAAGATAAAGCTAAAACAAAAAGTGCATGGATGCACTTCCTGAATTTTCTCTTGCTCTTTCTGAACTTAGGCTAACAAAGTTTTATATACTAGAATTCGTAACACTCACAAAAATGTTGAATGTACATACTTAAAGGAAAAACTAAGGAGCATTTCGTTTACTTTTATTTTGGTTCATTATTGACAGTATTGAAACTGGGTATTTTGGTTCATTAAGTAGTCGATCCACTTGGACATTTGTTCCTGTAACAATTTCATCCTCTATTTGCCCCTTCCACACTTCTCTTGCACAGATGGTTTAATAGATGATTCTTATACTCTTTTTCTTCCTGAGTGAGTTGGTTAAGGTTTGGACCTTATGATAAGAAAGAAATTTAATGGAGTATTAGCTAAAGTATGCAGTTTCTTTCATAAACATAAAATTAAATTTCAGAAAATGGTTTGTGAAATTCTGAAAATATTTATTTATGGACATTAAATACTGATTATTTTCTTCTTATGTAACGTTTTATGAAAGCAGAGAAATAAAGCCACTGTAATCTTTGCCCTCAGTCCTGACAACATATCTTAAAAGAATAACAGAGTTACTTAACCTATATAACCTTGAGGAAACTCATGAAATTGTGCATATAAATTACTGGAGTGTATTAGTTTCATCGTTTCAATTGGCTGTTGATTTTTTTACCTCCAAGGAAGGGGTGAGGGGCAGACCAATGCACTTAACACAGTTTTTACAAAGATGATATGCTATTGTTTCCTTTTAGTATCTTTACTTTTTCATCTCAAATTCCGGACGCTTATTTGACTTCCATGGTACAATTCATACATCATCTCCCTGTGTTTTATATAATGCTGTTTTATATATAATGTTGTAGTTTTAGTTTATCAGCAACTAAACAATGCCTTGGTGAGAAATAAGAAGTGAAAAGATCAACTACAGTGTTTGCATAAGCTGTTTGAAATTTTCAAGTAATTTTCTAAACTTACCAGTGACCCTAACTTTTGTCTTTCAACATTTAAGTCAAATAGTATTGTAAATGATGAGTGATTATGTTAGATATATATTTTTCATTAAAAAAATGACCACTTTTGCTGCCAAATATTTTAGAAGAAATATGGGAATTATCTTATTTTTAAAATTCTGCTTGGATTGACTTCTCTTTTTAGAATATAAAGATGTATGTTTATTATTTAAAATATAATTGCTAACTTTAAGCCATTTCTACTTTAAGAAATTAGTCATCTAAAATTCAAACAGACATTATTTCCTTATAGCTATTCATATTTTGCATTGAAGAAAGTATGACTTTTTGTGAGGGAATCTAATAGGATGATATGTATTAAATAGTACTTTTGTTCTTAGCGTATATTGCATATATTTCATACAAGCCAGGCAGTAATGTCACTAATGATACAAATGAAAATAAGATCATAAGTGAAATACCTAACAGTAGTAGAGTCAGCATTTATGGCACGGAACCTCAAAAACAGATTAAATGCAATATTGGTTTCACAGCGTATAGTAAATGCTAAAACGGGATTTTGTTTTATTTTAATAACTCTACTTTTTAAATAAACATACTGCCGTCATTTATCCTGGAAATACGTTGCAAAAATGGTGAGCAAGGCTTCAGGGCAGGGTCTAGCTAATTCTTCAATTTTACTGCATAAAATAGAGGATTAACAGAAGTTTTTTTCTTCTTAGTCTGAGAGTTGTATACCACTATGCAGTTTTCTAAGTTCAAGGGACAAATAAATGACTTGAGTATTTCATCATGACACTATTTTATAGCATGTCTGACTTTAGAAAAAGAGATACTGCATACTGCATATGCATCTTCACATAATATATACTTGTAATTTTTTTTAATCTATTTACCTTGACATACACTTTAAAGACTTAAGACAATAATTCAGAACAGTTACCAGCATTGTCAAAACATAAATTTTCAGTAGAAGGCAAAAGGAGCCCCCTACAGGTTACTTACACAGTCCAGTTAGGGAAGATGAAAAGATTCAAATGCTCAAAATCTCTCCATATCACTAGAGCAGAGTTCATAATGTAGGGAGAGTGGGCATAGGAGGGTGTATCTCTGGATAGAACTCAGAGGATACATAAACTGAGATAGAAAAATAATTAGATCTTTGTTTCCACTAACACCTAGAATGAAACATAGCATTTTATTTATGAATGGACAACAAATCTGAGTAGTTATAGCAGTACCTGTGCTTTTGTCACCAATAGAAAGAACAGATATTTGCATATTACATTTATTAGAGTTATTGAAGATATCTTGAAATAATTCAGGCTTATCACTTGATTAGGACAGTTTTCAAACTGCTTCAATAGTTTCAAACTACTTCAAAGTTAGGGTAATTTTTAGCTTTGTTGCTGGATCTTGTTATCTGTCGATAAAGATTCACAGATACTACTACATCCTAAAATTAGTTTTGTAAATATCTGAACACCTGTATTTTATTTTATTTTATTTTTGAATTCAATGACATTTAATATAATTGCTTGAAAACACATAGCAGAAGTATCTACATTTTTTTTTAACATCTTTATTGGGGTATAATTGCTTTACAATGGTGTGTTAGTTTCTGCTTTATAACAGAGTGAATCAGTTATACATATACATATGTTCCCATATGTCTTCCCTCTTGCGTCTCCCTCCCTCCCACTCTCCCTATCCCACCCCTCCAGGCGGTCACAAAGCACCGAGCTGATCTCCCTGTGCCATGCGGCTGCTTCCCCCTAGCCGTCTACCTTACGTTTGTTAGTGTGTACACCTGTATTTTAATATAGTTAGTTTCCCTCTTAAGCCTATGTATTTTATTAAAGACATCTCCTAAGGAGTTCACAAGATCACTAAACTACCAGAGGGGTCTATGGCACAAAAGGGATTAAGAAACCCTTTTGATGCACCACAGTCATTTCTCCAGATTAAATAATTTTTCACCCTAGAGGATGGTCC